GAAAAATATCAAGTCACATAAGAACACACGATTTCAACATGTGCAACATGGATACAATATATAAACCTCCTAAAAAATGCATCGTCTTCCACACTAACATTTTTTTTATTTTATTTAAGTCATTTATGTATTTTAAAACAACAAAAATAACAAAACAAAAATACATCTAAAAAAACCATACAAAAGAATGAAAAAAAAGCAATACAAGATGCCGGCAATGCAAAATTGAAGTGAAAAGTTTTTGCTGCTTTTTTTTACATCATTTGATGGAGTGTGTGTTGCTGATCACGAAAAACAACTTTTTACCTTATACAAATTTCTTTTTCAGGTCGAAAAAATATGCAAAATTCGAAGGATGTCAGATTTTTCAAGAAACACATTTTTTCCAAAATATGCCTTATATTTTGCTTCGCGTTTCCCTTATGCTTCTGCAAATATTTTTTTCAAATTCTGCATGTAAAACTGCGTCTAGGCGAGTTACCAAATCGACTTCAGACTCAAAACTCTATGAATAGCGGCGCTCCGAATCTCATTGAGTATACTACGTCCAGATAGATTTTGTAAAGGGTGGGTGTGGAGTGTGGATGGGTGTAGGTGTGGGTGTGTGTGGGTGTGGGTGTGTGTAGGTGTGGGTGTGGGTGTGGATAGAGAAAAGACACACTCACACCCCACACCCACACCCACACCCACATACCCAGCCACACCCACACCCACACACTTCTATAGCAAAATAAATATTGCCAATTGATCCACCATGCTGAAAAACATTATTAATAATAATTTGAAAAATATTTTACATAAGATAAAATTGACAAAAACTCGGTCAGGTGCCGTTAGTATTTGATCCATAACGTTTGAACGACTTAAGATAAAAATTTCGGCCTTTCGTAGATTTGTAGCTCGTCAGCTAAGGATTCTAGTCCGCTCCTGAAAGTTTAAGATTTGTTGTATCTTCATAGGACAACAGACTACTCTTTCAATATGACCATGGATCACTACCTATTTATGAAATAAATTTCAACAATTTTATATGAATCGATGCGCTATCTCAGCCTCTTTCCAATGGTGAAATTCGCAGCTGTCTATCTTGTTCCTATCAAAAGTTATTCAAAAAATACCCACGTGCCTTTTATTTTGAAACGGGCAATAGATCAACGTCCATGGTCAGAATGGAAACGTACTGATGCATCTTGTATACAGCATACCGGGTAGGACGTTGAACAAGTACAAGAATTATATTCTATGTGTGAAGAACCATTAATAAATTATTGTTCTCATAGAAACAAGTTACATGCGAGCAGTACCACCACATCCTATTTATCTCCTATGAATTTGCTTGTGGTTACATTATGGTATTTAAAACATTTTCATTCTGAACGGCAGTAGTAGATGTTTTACATTCATTTGTATATCCAGCATTCGTTTCTTTACCTGCTGATTTACCAAACAGAAGAACATCACATGGACCTCAACAACATCATAAATTAATTGTTGACTCGACTTGTATTGCAATTCCTGAACCGCATGATTCAGACCAACGTAAAAAATTTTATCATGCAAAAAGTCCAACGAATTATGCAATAAAAGTACAAATAGCTTGTGATTTTCATCATCGAATAGTACAAGTAACGTTCATCGTCAAGCGATTCACTTAGCCCTAGACTGATAGAATACATGTACGGATGGAATAGCATAAAAAGCTACATTAAAAAAGTAATACGCAACATTGATAATATGACCAGTATACCTTAGGCGACCAGAAAACTTAATTTGGAGAATTCTCACTCTAAGTAAAGATGATGCATTTACAAATTTAATTTTTTTTTATCATTTTTGTTTTATTTTTTTTTGCTTTTATGAATATAAATAGCGCCCAATAAGATTAGACAACAATACGATTTTTTTATAATTATATTGGCGCTATTTGTACGTACAAAAATATGAATTATATTATTCATAAAATTTGAGTTTTATTAATCAATATTTTATGCTTAAATTCACGCATTAATTCTAAACTATTAATAAATTAGATATTCATTGATACAACATTGCACAATCAATCTTACAATAATGAATAATTTAAACGATTTCTTTAAATCCATACTGCTCATTTGGTCTGACTCTCACTAATTAAATGCTTGTGTAAGTAAGCCGTTTTACATCACTACCCAAATTATAGTTATTCCATTGACATTTTACCCATGATTATTATGGGTTCATTTACATCAGTCTTTAGATGGTCATTTGTACCATAGTTACCGGAATAGTTGTTTGTACCATGATTGCTATATGGTCACTTGTGCCATAGTTATGTGGTCGTTTCTACCAAAAAAATGACCGTTTGTGCCATAGTTACATGCTCATTTGTACCATAGTTACCTAGTTAATTTTAGTAAAAAAATGGCCGTTTGTGCCAAAAAAATGGTCACTTGTGCCAAAAAAATGGTCACTTGTGCCAAAAAAATGGCCATTTGTGGCACGAAAATGGTCACTTGTGCCAAAAAAGTGGTCGTTTATGCCATAAAAATGGTCACGTGTGCCAAAAAAATGACCATTTTGACTGCGTTACCGACAGACAGACAGACACAGGTGAATTTCGATTTCTAGACGCTAGCCTTTCAGTCTTGGGAATAGAAAGAAAATCTTATTTTATTGGCTTTGCGCGCCATTCGAAATATATATTTATTTTTATTTTAACGATCACATAGTTACCATATGGTAACCATACGTGTTACAGACAGACAGACAGACAGACAGACAGACAGACACAGGCGAATTTCCGTTTCTAGACCCTATACTTTCAGTCTAGGGTACATGTATCTGAATGTTATCATGGAAGTATACATGATATTACAGTTCTTCGAGAATCAGAGCTATTAGAACACGTCGAAGAACCTGTACAAATTATTGGTGACAAAGGGTATATCGGTGAAGAATATATAGTCACTCCAAGAAAGAGACCTCATGGACGTGAATTAACACAAGAAAATAAAGATTTCAATCGCGATATTAATAGTGCAAGAGCAGCGATTGAAAATATTAATCGACGTCTCAAAAGTTATGCTATTCTTCGTGGTGTTTACAAAGGACCTGTTGATGATTTTCATAAAATAACTAAAATCATACAGGTCATTGCTGCTTTATGTAATTTGAACTTAAATAAGCATCCTATTCGTAGATAAATAAAATGATAAGTTGCATTTTCTTATTAACCATTTATGAAGCTATATACTCCTCTTTAGTTGTTTCAAATCTCTTCGTAAGAATGGCATAGATTAACATAGACGATATGAAGCACATTTAACACAATAAATACAAAGATATTCTTAATAATTCTCATTTATAGTGATATATATAGGTTATGAATAGTGATAGATGAATAGCATTATATATGTAGTATAACTGGTAAAAAAATCAGATTTTTCTTATGCGTAGATAAAAAATCAATACTGGGGTATCAGTCAAGCTTGTCACTCCCATATAAAGCTTATTATACATCTGTTGCATTACTTGGGATTTTTTATATAAGACTGTTAATATTCCTTGATAATCTTTTATTTTTCTTTCAGTAGATATTTTTTTATTCGAGTAAAAATTTGTTAATATATGTTTTAAAAGATTTAAGTTAATTACTAAAAAGTGAATAAGAATTAATTAATTCACTGATTATACTCGACTTTCTTTTTACTGTACCATCACAGAAACAATCAGATTTTTTTTAAAAATAAAATCAGTATAAGAATATAAGATAGTTACAGAATCGCTCTTCATACATATCGAAATTATTTCTCTTTGTTTTTCAATAGATATCAACGAGATCAATATTCGATGTATAGAATATGTTATTGTTACCGTTTTCTCTTGTTCTCTACCTACTAAAGAAAAAAAGGCATATAGAACATGTGACAATCGCTTGATGTCCTCCTAGATAGACAGATTACTAACACGATGTCTATATGAGGAGAAAGAAAAGAAGCAAACTAACGAACATTTTATTTCGTACATTCATTCTAGATGAAAACTCAGCACACCACTAGCTACAAAAATATTCAAGTCAACATTTTGTTTGACTTGAAGAACGTATGTGTTGGTCTTGTTTTCATTCACATCAATACTTTAATGGAAATGTACAAGATATTTTCAGTTATAATCACGCAATGTAATAATATTAGTGACTCACATTCGCTCGTTTATAATAGAGGAGATGATAGAAACTCTATTTTAGAAACTTCATGATTAGTCGAAAAAAAAACCGGAAAGAAATTTTCGGTTCCAAAATATTTCCTGAGCTCTTTTCTTATGCTATGATAAGAAACTTCTACACTATTTTTTCAATCTTTATTATTTAGATGAAATCGGTCTAGATTTTTAACGATCGGTATATACGAGTTTAATGTAGAATCAAAGTAGAAATAAGATTATTGAAATTCGGTAACAGGAGATAGAGTTATTGTGAACGCAAATGTCGGATTGCAAAAGTACAATGAGAATGTGAATCATACCTATACTCCACACTCACACCCCGAACTGGTAACTAGAGATGTTGTCGCATTAGCATCGTACGGTTATAACAACTTTAGACACAAAGTACAGTAAAATATAGAGCCTTATCAATACGGATATATTGACATTGGACCCACTTGAAGACAGTTCATGGAATGATCACATAGATGATATTTCACAGTAATTGAATCAGGAAGAGAAGAAATTTGTAAAACACATGCTTATGATATCTGTTTGTATTTAATATTCGGGAGAGAAACGAGAAGATTATTGATATTAATACTGAGAATATTTGTAAATGATTTGATCTGATTCGAGGCCTCTTCTCTTGTTCTTGAAATCTTCTAAGCGTGTTAGTGATGCTTTTTTTTATCGCAGATGTCAACCTGCCCTATAAAAAATCGGGTAACCTAGCCGTGCGCTGTAACTATCGTAATCTGCAACGCTCTAATATATTTCTTCTGTGGTTTCAGCGAATGATAATGATTGGCATCTGAATCTCTCGATATTTTTAACGAAGTTTTACAAGACACATATTCTATTGATTGAATAAATGTGCATATGTGTTAAGGATATCCTCTCTTTTTTGACCACTTCTGATTCGTGAAGAGAGTACAATTGATCAAATTAAAATTATTACCACAGATAAAGCACCCGGAATTGGGGAACATGTGTTTGGAGAAAACAATTTTCAACAGAGTTTTCGCAATTTTTTTCGGGAATATCCTGATTTCACCTAGGAACAGGTCGTAGTACATTACGGCTCTCATCAAACTTTATTCGATCCTGTTGGCAGTTTTTTTTCGAGATACTTCAGACTATATTTCAGAGGTATTTTTGAACGTTTTCGAAAATTTGATTTTCCTTTCTTTTTTCAATGAAACAAATACCTAAAGGCACAGAGTCGAAATCGGAGTGTTGACTTTCAGAATCCTATAAATCTAGATAAGAAAGTCAAAAATAAAAATGGCTGATTTTACCATTGAAAGATACTTCCAAGTGTCTGCAGTAAAAATTTCAGCTTGAGCGCATGAAGTCGGGGATGGATGTGAAAGTAGATGTCAGCGAAAAGAGCATCCACAACCATATCCATAGTGAAGTTGTATCAGTTTGATTTCTTACAGCTGTTGATATCATTCATCTCTCTCTCGAATTGATGTATTTTCCTATTCAAGTGAAAAGATCTAGTCATCTGATTGAGCAACCATGCTTTTCGTTCATTTTATAGAAAGTTGAATATATAGATAGAAAAGAACTGCAGAGGAAAAAAGAAAAGTGATAATTAAAAACGTGGATAGTATAGTTCGCAAAAGTTTTTCAAATCAAATGCAGTGAGGTTGGCCGTTAGTCCATAATCTGCATGACGATGGACAACTTTCAAGTAGGATCCATCGATTTTTGCCGACGCATTGCAAAATGCTTGCTCTATAGTTGAAATAGCATTGATAGCTGCCATAAGGCATACATTGACCGATCGTTGTCATGCAGTCACAATAGCGTGGAAGAAATGGTCGCCATGTTGCTTGTTGCAGGCGGTTACCTTGATAAGAAGAAGGCAGTAGAAAATCTCAATATCATTATCATTGTGAAAACATATGTTGTCATAGTCTACTATTGATAAACAAAATAGTGTCTTATGCATGTGCCTTTATGGAAAATAATCTATTTTCTCTCTATTTATATGTCACTGACAACAGTAACAGTTAGATCAATATGACAGGGCGTTGAATGCCCCAATTATGATAATTTATTATCTCAACACTTTTCCTCATAATCTTTAGCTAATTAAATTAATTTGACACATATTTATCTAGCATCAGAGCCTTGCATTGAGTAATATTATTCATAATCATAGAAGAAATAAAAATAAAATCTCAGCAAGAACAATTATGTGTTTCCTAAGGACTATAGTGTTTAGAACGAAAGAGACAAACCTGTATTTACTATTCGAATGTTTCCGCAGGCAATTCGAGCACCTGCATGACTACAATAATAAAAGTGAATGCCAATGTCAATCATAAATGAGTTGTCTGTTTCTACCCTGTTATTTTGCTGTCACTGTACATACCACGACCGAGATCATCCTCATCTTTGTGAACAACAATTGATTTGTCTAAAATTGAACTACTTGATGTGGTATGCAACTGAATAATTGAGTCTTCAAAATCAATTATTGCACTGCCAAATTGATCAGACCTTGAAAAGATTGTCATGAAGAAACAATCAATAGTTATTGCACAAGAAAATGCTCACCAAATGTTACCAAGATCGCCGACATGTCTTCGTTCAATTGAATCGTATCTATCACCATGTATTGTACCTACTCATGAGTTAAAAAAAACATCTGAAGAGAAGAGAACAAAATTAGTACTATAAGGGTTCCAATGATCACCAGCTTTCGAGCAATTCCATTCGCCATTGGGTAGCCCAAACATATGCACATGAAATCCATGATATTTCGTGTTCGGTATCAAATTAATCAATGTGCCCGTAACACGAACAGGTGAACCAAGAAAATCTGCCTGCGTAAAAATCAATGTACCTGCTGGTAAGGAACTCGAATCAGCGTGTAAATCAGCTCTGGCAACCCATGTCTTCATTTCAAATGAAGAAGACACTAAAAGTAAAAAACAACATAATCACTATCGACTAATTTTTGATTGAATTGCTGTATTCTCATCCTCATCGTATCTGCTCAGCTGATTCAAACTGGAACGATTCGATCCTAGATATACTTACCATCAATGAAGAAAATTATAACCGATAATACATAATATAATGAAACAAATCTCATCATCGTTACGAAAAGTATTTAATTGATTGTAGTTATGTATTCGTCGAGAGTTAGAAACTGTTTTTCTAGTTTATCTATCTCATTGTCATTGTCTCGTGTTGATAAATGAGAAAAACTATCTCATGCATGTATCCATATAGGAAATAATCCAGTTTCTCTCTCTCTCTCTTTCTCTGCCATTGACGATAACTGCCATAGAACAATCTAGAGGAAGAAAAGAACTATGCAATTTGATTGAATATATTACATTGAAGATGAAATACAAGCCACACGCCACGATTACTCGTTCATTGAGTAAAATATGTTTGAGTAACAGAATACATCGGTACTTTTCATGACCATCGACATGAATCAGTCACAGTCGAATAATGTTCTTTGATTCTGTTCCATCATTACTATTGCAGTTTCGAGATTGATAAACAATGAATCATCATGTGCTGCCATTGGAGCTTTTAGTACACATATCATATCCGAGCTGAGAATCATTGATTTACATCATATTACAAAGGTCGATTCTTATATCCAATATTTTCTTATCGCTAAATCAATTTTCGAAGTAATACTTCAAGACAAGATGATGTTTATTGAAGTTCTCGATTTTAGTTAATTCGAACACAAAGAATTAAATTGCAACTGTTTTTTGTCTTCCGAAGAGAAGAAAATCATTCGAATGTTGTGCAAAAGAAAGTCTTTTTAGTTGATTTTTATTTTTTCATGTGATAATATTTTGAACTATTTAGATGTAGAAATCAACAATAGAAATAGACAAAATAGCTCGACGTCGTTAAACTAATCTTTAACTGTTTTATAAATATTCATGCATAGGATGCCATGTACGATTTGCTTTGCAAGCATTTCTTTCCATGGACGTCTCCTTGAATAGTTTCATCTCTCAAAGAATAGGCCACAAAGAGTATGATATTGTACCCATAATTTAAAATAATATCAACATTTTAAAATTCTTTCATTAAAAACTATTCGAATACTTTGATGTTTTTTTTCATTTTCTACTTTCAACTTTATGTTTTATCCTTGATGAAATATTTTCTACTTGATTTAGATTCAGGCTGTTAAACTAATTGGCCTCTTATTCGAAACCTATTATCATCGATAAATTCTTTATCAACATTACTGATATATTTGAGGTTGTGATTAAGCATGTCACAATACCCATACGGTATTGAGGTATTAGTATTTAATGATATTGGTATTGAATGATATCAGTATTGAATAGTATAGGCATTGAGTGGTATAGGTAGACTGTGAGTGTGAGCATGTGTGTTAGTAAGAGGAGATCGACACTCACACCTTCGTTTGAAATAACAAATTTGATCATTGATCAATAGACGGAGTGTTGTCGTCTGTTGATTGATCCTAGAGAAGATTATAGCCGATAAAAAAATCAAACTCTTACTCTTATAAAGAATAGTGATCAATCGGAGTATGTTCATGAACAAAAAAAGTGAATGTGAATTTCGCTATATTAAGCTTGAAAATTTATAGAGAAATATTTTCCTCTAATCATACATAGAACCTTGTGAAAATTGTCAGTTCACTTAGATCCAATGGAGTAGAGAGATGAATACAACCAATTAAGCGCTGTTCCAACGATGTTTGCAATGAGTTATTACATACTTTTTTTCTCAAAAAAACAAAAATTGTTGACATGATAAACAAACTAGTCCAAAGTGGAGGATATAAATCTAAGACACTTTTGTCTTTTGCTATAACTCAACTACATCTATAGCAAGAAAGACCTTGTTAAGGACTATGTAATCTGAAAAAATCGTCAAAATCAGATATGTTTTGGATGAGTTATGGCGAATACAATTTTATTCCAGCGGGCATAAATTTAAGATATTTCTTGTGTTTTGCAGTATTGTACATTTTTTCACATAGTGATTTTGTTTAGAAAAATTAAAACATACATTAATTGATGCAAAATTGAATGGGCTATCCTTTGGTACAAAGCACTTTTTCAATATTATTAGTTTTAATTAGTTAATAATAATTATATTTAATTAATATTAACTAAAGAATATGAAAATGTTTTTATTTATTTTTAACTTTCAAGTACATCATTAGAAGAGTATCGGATACTGAACAAAATGGTATATTACTTTTGTTAAAATAACTTGTTTTAGTAAGATTTTAATAGAAAAGAAAACAGTTTAGTCAATCTTACTAGTATACTGAACTGTTATTTTGGAGTGGTTATACTCTATAATGCAATTTCAAAACTTAAGAATTAGAGTATTTTGTAGAGCAGACTTTACACTTTCGAATGAGATCTAGCTGACTTCTTTGTAATG